GGGAGTGTAGAACTCACCATTCTCGCTCGAAGTGTCGAAGAGGTGGTATAGGAGTTGCCATGTTTTCCTAGAGGCAATTTGTCTCTCACTATAGGCGTTCACGAAGCTTGGCTTCCCACCTGGTGGGCCAGCGTTATCGAGAGCTCGCTTTGTGGCTATCCTTGAGAAGCTGTGCGCCGATACCAACAGCGCCAGAGTTGTTCGTTACGATCTGTTCAAGGCGGAGGTGTGGCGATTGACGAGAGAACAACATCGCTTCAGTGAGGTACGACTCAACCACGCGGTTTGATACAGTTATGATCTTGTGCTCAGGTCCGTCCCCTGCTGCCGTTCTCGGAGGCTGAGATAGTAAAGTACCGAGAGGCTTTCGAGGACCGCGATCATGAGCACACTGGTCGTGTTAGCCTCGCTGAGCTCAGGCTTGCACTGAAAGATATCATAGCGTAGTTTGGGCGGCGAGGCTGTCTTCAATTTTGACCTTCGCAACGATGATCGATGAGGTTGTGTGTAGATCATTCGCCGATGTCTGAGAATGAGCATGAGTGCACAGAAGGAGCGGACCGGGATGACTTCTCGAGAGAGGTAGGGCTACGTCTTTGGTCAGGCTGGACTGTTCATGTGTGGTGACACTGATGGTGACAGGTCTTTGGTGATGGGCTAGAGTCGGCTATTGCAGATAATGATGGAGATGTTGATTTCGCGTCTTTCCTTATCTTGGCGAGGCGTATGAAAATGGGTGAGTTTGCTGCAGTTCAAATTGGATTATGGTGCCATTCTGTTAGCGATATCCTCAAAACTGACAGCAACTTTAATAACATCTTGATGTCGCAAATCTTCATGCTGCCGTATCCACTCAGCTGGTGATGTTGTGTCAAGTAAAGCACTGTCGCGTGGGGGGGTGGTCGTTCCTAGCATCTTTCCTATTGATTCAATAGTATTGAATCAGCAGGTTATAATCCTGTTACATTTTTCTGTGTTGGCACTCTATTGAACTTGGCCCTGGTGTACGATCCTGTGGGCTCTCTCTGGTAGGAGGGCCGGAAACCAGCGTAGGAGAAGTGTGGGAGTGTATTGCTCGACTCGGATCTCCCTGTCATAAATTTTCTTGTATTTGTTAGTCTGTTGCAGCGTTTCTGGCAAGCTTGTGAGGAGATTGTCGTAAAAGCAGGAACGTGGTGGGGTAGTTGGAGTACTTATACGAGTATTTCGAATAGCCACTGATGTGCCGGTGTATCGGCAGTGCTCCTACTCCAGAGGTAATAGTATTACCTCTGGGGTAGGA